GTGTGTGTGTGCTGGTGTGTGTGAGTGTGTGTGTGTGTGTGTGTGTTGTGTGAGTGTCGTGCGCCGCGCGCGGCGCGCGCCTCTCCCCCTTCTCTCTCACCACGAATCTCTTTCCTCTCTCCCCTCTTCTCTCTCTTCCCCCTCCCTTATTCTGTCTCTCTTCTGCTCCTATCTAGCATCTCCCTTTTTTCTCTCTTTCAGCCACTTTCTCTAATCCCATCCACCAAATTCAATCCTGCATACAATCAAACAAGGAAACAATTGGAATAAATAACCAGTAGCTTAAAAAAAAAACAATAAACATCTGTTCCACTTGTGTGAGTGCCTCCTCACTCCTTTCAAATCCCTTACTAATATTTCTGACATCGGTTTCTCAAACCTATAACAGCCTGCCTCAGTAATCCACTGACAACTTCGAGGGTCTATCTCATCACCAAGCCTCTCATTAGATATAATCATCACTGTGGGTGGGTGAAAGTCATTGATTGGGAAAGCCTGGGTCTGTTTTCACACTGCGCTTGTCACAACAAAAACAACTCCTGTGTCATACGGTCAAGTGAGGATGTTACAGCTGAGGTTTGCAGCTCTTGGGATTCGTCACCAAGCCTCATCCTCATGCACGCTGTCACATCATGCATGTCTACTGTCAGATTGTTCGTCCTCCCCGCGGGCCAGGCGGTGATCTGGAGCCCTGCTGAAGAGTATCGACGTACACAGAGAGCACCGCCGAACCAGTGACCGTCACCTCAGTGGGGTGTGATTAATAAAGACATTCCCCAATAACACACAGTTCATTAGGAGCAGGTTAATGGACTGAAATGCAAGATATCACTGTGCAGGTCCCCTGGCTCCCAACAGCTCCATTTCTGCTTAATTAGACTCATAGATGAGCTTCACCCGCTGTGTGTCCATCTCTCGCTGTCTTTCCATTCCCTCTTCTTTCTCTGTAGCCCTCAGCTATCTGACAGGCACCACAGAAGAAGTAGAAGAAGACCTTGTGTGTATCTTTGTCACCAGGTCAATACCTTTTCTATCAGCGTTATTTTGTCTTGGATCAACATATTTAAAACCTTTTGATCCGGTGGTTTTTCTGCATCTGCTAATAATGCATGTGGTGTTATCTGCTTGTGTTGCTGTAAAAGGGTTAATTGATCTGAGTTCAGGGGTTAATTGACTCGACAGGCCTTTTTGCTGAGGGACCTGACCCCTGGAGGTGCAAGGTCAGAGCTGAGTGGGGGTCACCGGAGGAGACGGGAGTCCTGTCAATCCAGTTTGACTGAAACATCAAAGAGTTTGGCTGCAGGAAGACGTCTTAAAGACGACTGCTCTCTTCCACCCATCGGACTGTGTGCACACGTACAGATTTCACTGCTCATTATGATGCAGGAGATGCTGATGAAAGATGGGAATGAGCTCATCGACTTAGGAGGTTGCTTGATCTCTCTCCCTGTTTCTTTTTATTAGATTATTTCAAACGCTAAACGTGTCTCTGTATAATTCAAGCCAGCCTCTTCAGTTGCCCAGGGTATCAGCGAGCTCTCTGGGAGAGGAAACAGCAGCCTATAAAGGGAGATCCGCTCCCCAGCCCACAATCTGAAGAAACAGCAACCATAATAAAACGCCTTTTAAAACGGAGCACGTTCATTCATACACACACTTTCACTCTTGCACATAATTATAGGGCCATAACTCAGTCTGTATACTCTCTTGGGAGCAGCCAGACAAGCGGCTGCTATTTTTTACTCACTTGAAAAAAAAAAGAAAAAGAAAAAAGAAAGCATTGTGGATGCTCAGATACCCATCATTTGACACCCAGGATCGACTTATCTTAATGTTGTTTCACAGACGACTCACATCAGCATGACAAATAGGAATGCGTGTTTGTATATTTCCTTTTTATTCTGTTCTCCTGCCAAACTCCAACAATTGTGCTCAATCATTGCATTGCTTGACACGTAATCCTATTTCACAGTATAATTCAGTTTGAATGAGGAGCTGCAGGCAATAGACAGCCTGGTGAGATGTCAGAGACCCGGACTTCAGGCTTTATAACTGAGCATTTGCTGCCCTCTAGTGTCTCTTGTCACTTTTGCACACTCAGGATGAAGGCTGAGCTTCAGTAGCCAAAATAATTGCCAGGGACAGTTCACCCAAATGTCAAGTGAAGCTATTTTCTCACTTACATGTAATAATATTCAGATGCTATTGGTTTTATTTGTATAAGAGTTTCTGAAATGTTTTCTGTCAGTCATTAACAGAGGAAGTGAATTTGGTTCAGTTTGTGGCATTGAACGTTTACAGTTTAAAATTGAACAGCTGCATCCCTTTGCAGAAACAGTGTCCCAGTTACTCTGGACTGTCCACGGATCATAATTCAGGTCCAGTGTCCACATATATTTACCCGCAGACTTTGACACGTGCTCCCTCTAAAGATGAGGTGAAATGAGATTAAATTTCCACACTCTAAAAATGTTGATTTGGCCCAACAGTATTGTTTTTCTTATAAAGATGGACCACGCTCTGATTTTTAAAAGTTGGCCTATGACATGTGTGAACTGGCCCTTTAAATACCTCAGCAGTTATTTAAAGAGCAGGGCCCTATATTTTTTATCTCGTGCCTTGAGCAAAAGGACATGTGTGCGCACGAGCAGGTAATGCAATAAACAATAGTCCTAGTAATGTAATCAATTTAATATGCATGTAAAGAATCTTTTCTGAATGATAAACTTTACACGTTTTATAAAGGAAATGCATTTAACATGATCTCAAGGATACACAGTGTCTTGATGAGAAACACTAAATGTAAACTCCTCAGGGCACCTTTAAACTACATACAGTATGAATAATGGCTGATTACAGTCTGTGAACCTCCCCTGAATAAATCTTGTTTTAATTTAACTTTTAAATACTTTAAGCAGGACCATCAGAGTTTCATTCACCTTTATCATGTTGGGGTTGCAGCAGAAAAGTTTGAGACAAATATTGAAGATTAAACCAAAAATATGTAGATACCACTGGTTAAGCGTGAAAATATGTTTCTTCATCATTTGGGTGAACTCACCCTTTAAATAGCCTAAAGGAACATGTTTCATGGGAATGAATTCTTGATTTTCTTTTTGTTTGCATTTTACTCATGTAGCAGATTATATTTATATTTGCAAATTAATATCCTTGCCAACTCATGTGTGATACAGATGTGCATGTTTAACTGCAAATGCTGCGTGTCTCCAGATGTGACTCAGGGCTGAGCAGTAACTCTGAACACCAGCAACCATTAGGGGGTGCTGTAATCAAAGGAAACACCCCGGAGTCATTAGACATCTCTCTGTTCAGACTCCTGCTGCATGGATTTCAACAGCCATCCATCAACCATGACTGTAGACTGATGTCTGACATCATGAACAGGGTGTTTTGTTCACTGCAACAGCTTCCTCTATTGTGAGAAGCGCTTTAGCTGAAAGGAGAGTGTCTGTTTCTGGCTACTGTTTCTGGTTTAGGACATGCAGATAGTATCAAGCTTCAAGTCTGGCACATATTGGAGTCTCTATCTTATTTCAGTGTGACTCAATCTGATTTACCATCTGTATGTTGAAAGAATAGAATACCGCAGTAACAGTAAGAGAGGACAACTTTACTGTCAAGAAACCTATCCCCCAGCTTTTTCCCACCGCTCCCTTCCTCACTCTTAATCTTTAATCTTTAAAGATATAAATAAACAAGGCACTTGAAGCTAACAATGGACTGATTGAATCTCTATGAGCTGCTCTGTGACAGTGTTGTCGGTTGTCGTCTCCTCTGCCAATCAGTGATTTTCTTGAGAACGGGGACAGGAGCGCAATAAGAGAACAGGTCAGGAGGGAAGTCGGAGTGATGACAGACGCTGGCACTAAA